CCCGAGTTATTGTGTGTTGTGACCTACTTATGTCTCTGAATTCTTCAGGCTGCAAACACGTAGAATTTAAGTTTAAAATAAATGTCTTGTGACATGACAACAAATATAGCGGCTAAGTGCTTTATACTCAATGTGACTGTTTTATAAGGATGGTAGGGATTAAACTGACATGTTTGTACTTAATGCTTCATTTTAGGCATGTTAGTTTCAAGATATTGTGAATTCCAGCACCAAGACGCAGTATGTAATAACAGGATCTACAGAAAAGAAGACATGCTTCCCTTGCTGTGGTCAGCCATGAATGCTATATAATTCAATCTGTAACTCCACAAACTCAATTCTCAACAATTATTTTTATTTCTTTCCATCTGAAATAGATACGAAATATTCTTTACATCATCAGCACAAATACTCATCTTGCCTATGCAGCCTTTGCGTTACATTAACATAAGTTTATTTTAAAAGAAGAATCATTAAGAAACTGCATTAGCTCGTACAAAGGGAAAAATACAGTCACCAAATAGAGCAGCATCAAACAAATACATAAAAGCTTTCTCAAGATCCTGAACTAAGTGGGCAGGCTGAGAGCAAACTTAATATGCAGGAACAGTACCAGGCCAAATATCGTATTGCAATATTTGCATGAGCCAAACACTGTACTGCAGTACAGCATGTGCCAAACTGCAGCTGTGTTTGCTGCCACTTTCAGTGTGACTTCACAGCAGTGCTTCTCAGTCTGCAGTCTAGTAGCAGTCTGTTACATACCAGAAAGTGGTACATACAAACTGAGACATTTGAAATGTTGCAAAAATCTAAGGAAAAAATGGCACAATGGAGAAGTAACTTTTAGTATTTATTAGGTCTTAGCCTAATTTTTATTAATGGTATTTGAAACAGTGGCAGTATCTTTTTTTTTTTTCCCTTAAAAGCATTAGGAAGTTATTTATTTAAACTCTGCTAGAATATTGTTTTTCAAAAACAGATCTAGCTTTGTTCAAGACCAGGTTATGAATATAATAACATGGTTTAGTGATTAGCACGTTTCATTTAAACATCAGACTAGAAGTGTGCTGTGCTCAGTAAGGGTATTAGGACACTATAACGTAGTCTAGTCTGTCTGTGGCGCCACGGAGGGCGAGACGCTGTGAACAAAACTCTTGTAAAACCCAGCTTTTCAGTAAAACCCAGCTGGTGAGCACCAGCACAAGGCCGCAGCCTGGCACTGCAGGCTCGCAGAGCCCGCGTGCGGGCAGCAAACATGGGCAAATGGCGCTGCCTGACCACCTGCCCTCCTGCTGGCCTCCTGCTAACGCTGGTGGTTTGGGGGGTGACTCCGCAGAAGCCCCACAGCAGGCGCCTTGTGTGTATGGCACCAAGACTTGAAGGAAGGGTATTGTGCTAAACCGCGTTGATAATTCCTTACCAAGCTAACAAGATGAGAATCTTTTGCTGCTATAAATTAACAACAAAAAAAAAGGCCATTAATTACCACTTAAAGAGGAATGCTTTTCTTCACAGCATCTGACAGCATTGCTTAAAAAGCATGTGCCTGTCCATTCTTCAGCCGTGCAAAATGCTCTGCAACTTCACTAGGCTGATTCTCCATTAACAGCACTGCTAAAGCAGCCAGTTATTCTGTGCTTTTTTTGTGTTTCTCAAGTAGGTTTTCCACACATTTTAGTGTCAAAAGGAATTCTTTCAGTTCTGATGCCATCACAGGTCTCAAAATCATAATTTAGAGGCTATAATTTCACTTAAAAATTCTTCTATATTTTTGTAGAATAATGGCATAGTGAATTATGACATCTATGCATCAGAAAATATCAATACCATGATATTGTATAAAAAGCTTCCTTCATATTTTCACTCAGCTCAGTTTATGTAACTTTTTGCATCATCAGCATATCTTTCTAAAGAGGTACCAATGCATGGTCTGCTCTCACCTAGCTGCAATCACATTTTTGAAAGCTGCTCTGTAGCAGTTTGAACAGTATGTTCATGTCTGGCTTAATGAGAGCAAAGTGGGAACACAAGAAGACAACAGAACTGCCTTCCGTTCAAAAGAATCAGTGGCCCAAATAACTTGTGTCTGGGTGCTAAATGCCACCTTGATTCTTCCTGAAACACTTCACAACTCTTTCCAGTTTTCATGGACTGTCCTTAAAGCTCTTTCCTGGAACTTCCATTGTGTTGTGGCAGGTCTCTGCCTCCTCATATTTGGTACTTCATGCTTTATTGAAGAGGGGGAAAAATAATAACAATTCAGATAAAAAAAAAAGGGCAAAAGTACTTTCAGTTGTGTGCCCTGGAGCATAGCTGCTGAATGAAGAGATTTAATTGGAGAATGTAGCATTGCACAAAATGTACTCTGTGAGTTCATCTTTCATTAGGGCTTGTTCTCCATTCAGTCCACCCATCATCACTGCTGCACTGTCCTACGAGCAGCAACTCTGTGCACTTTGTGTTCATGAAGGACAGAGCTGATTGCTGCTGCCAAGCCTCTGGGTGGTTTTTGCCTACTGGGACTCCACCAAACATTCAACAGGAACATCACCCTCTGGCAGACAGCATAATATTGTTACTGTGTTCACAATATATAGCATTTATTTTGACAGCTTTGACTGAAACATAAGTTTGCTCTTTGATTGCCACCCTTGATATGATCTCTGTAAACTCTGTATGGCAAAATAGCTCATTCAGGATTGAAGTGTCCCGAAATGCTGGCAAGTTATCACAAAGATTTTTTAGTGCAGGATCATTCTCACATGACATTTAAGGTATTGATCAAGAAGTTCTTGTCTTCAAAGATCTGGTTCACTTGTCATGTCCTTGGATACCTGGGCTACACGAGCCACTGCCTTAGCACTGAAATGATCTTTGGTATGTCCCATTCCTATGAACGTTCCCGTGGTGCCACAGATTTCCACACTGACGTGCATGAACACCATTGGCCTTTCCTGGAAGTTGTGGTGCTCTTCATGGTCTCCAGGTCCCTTCACCCTGACCTGCTCCACAGCATCCCCCCAAGGCCGCACGCACCAAGCAGTGGGCGTCCCGGAGCAGCCGGGCGCCATTTTCAGCGCAGCCTGAAAATGCGACCGGCGGGGCCCCCCG